GCTTTAAAATGCATATAATTAGTAGGTTATTAAGTCATTTTTAAACTAGGTAGGCCTAATATAAAAAGAAAACAATTGGTGGGGTATATATAATTGGTATCGAACTTATTTTAATTCCGTAATAAATCATTTGTTACATATAGGTTTTGTAGTATGTTGAATGACTTTAAAATTAGAAAAAAAATTATAATATTCTTCTTAATTATCCTTTAATTCAATTTTTAAAAAGGCCAAAGTATCTTAAAAAGAATTAGCTTAAAAAATTTAGATAATATACCTAATTGTGAAGCAAAATTTAGATCACCAAAATTTAAAGATGTTGTAAAAAAACCAATAACAAAAATAAAATATATTTAAAATATCTTACATGGAATTGATTTGAGCTTTTTATGGCATGAGCTGCATGTTGCAAAAATATTGTCTTGGTCAAATAAAAAGAAGTTAGATATAAGAGAATTTTTTTTCATATTATTAATTAAAAATTTTTTATTTAATAAAGAAAAAATTTCATATATCTTAATCTGAAAGAAAAAATAAAACGAAAAAGAAAATTATGATTATGTATATGTATGATTTATAATAAAGGGGTATTTAAAATTTTTTTAAGGAAAAAAAATAGAAGGCGAGGAAACGTTAGAAGTTTTTCTTTTTATTAATATAAAGAATTATATATTTAAAAAAAAATATATAATGTTATATTTTATCTGACTCTGAATAACTAATAAAAAAGAAAGAATTTTAGAGAGATTTTTATATAATCTTAAAATTTTTTTTAATAAATCCCCCATTTCACTAACATCACATGTTAAGAAATCCCCCATCAATATAACCCAAAATTTTAAAACTAATTTTTTTTCAAATAAAATAGAAGGCGAAGGGTGAAGTTTTTATTTTTATTTTTATTATAAAAAGAATTATATATAAAATTTTTTTTAATAATAATAATGTGGTTTTACGTCTTTATAGAGAAACCATTATAGAGAATGTATTTTATAGAGAAACATTTATAGAGAAGAAAACAATTATAGAGAATGCATTTATAACAAATGGTTTTATAGAGAATGTCGTTTATAGAGAATGATTTTAAAATGAATGTAGAGAATTATTTTGTAGAGAATTATTTTGTAGATCTTGATTTTATAGAGAAATATTATGTATGGGACAATTAGAGAGTAGTATATGTAGATTAATACGTAACAACATTGGGGATATTCTCAATATAACTGATGAAAAACATATTCCAACTAATAAAAAGGGAGTATGTAAAGATTGTCCAAGAGTGAAGGAGGTAAAAACAACATTTATTTGTTTAAATTGTTAAAAATTCATTAGATCATATGCATACATTTTGTCGTGAATGTTAGTACAAAAATTTACATGATATTTGATGATTAGTATTTTATTTAATATTTGATATCTTTTTATAAAATTTATATAATTATCTATATTCGACATTCATTTAATAAAATATATAATAAAATTTGCATTTTTTTAAATACTTTATGGTGATCAAAATATAATTAAAGAAAGGTCTCAGAAAAAAATTTTTATTTTAGTAACTTTAGTAAAATTTGCATAACTGTTTTTAGAAGTAACTATTAATCTAAGATTTTGTATTTATTATTTCCAATAATATTTGAATATATATTCAAAATTGTATTTGTAGATCTCAAGTTTAAATATGTTCTGAGATATTAATCAAAATTTGGGATAAAATAGACCCCACCTTTGTAGTTAAGGGATTTTTTTCCACCTTTATAGTGAAGGATCAAAAAGTATGGGTTGAATTTTAAAAGGAGAAATATTTATATGCTAGGTTTACAATAAATATTCATATTTAAAACTGCCTTTCGCGACTCGAATTGATAGACTAAAATAAAAAAAATATAAAATATTTTCAGTATAAAAAAAACTAAATCTATCCAATTGAATAAGTTAGGTCAGGTCTATTATTTTGTCAAAACTAAAAAACCAAGAATTTGACAATCCATAAATATATTTGGCTCGTAATATAAATTTGAGTTCTTGCTGTTTAATGTCGTTGTACATTGTAAAAGCACGACTTTACTTAAATAACGCTCAAATTATAGAAGTTAGAAGGCACCACTTTTTAATATTTTACAATCTAAAAGCCATCAAAAATTTAAGAAACATAATGAGCCAATATTTTTTATTAAAAAAAATTAGATCGGTTATTTTTTTAAATTAAATGGGATAGGACCTTATTAACAACAAACCTGGTTAACAATATATTTTTTTAATAATTTTGAAATAATAAATAATTTTCAAAATATCTTTATTCTAACCTTGTTTAATAAAAAGAGTTTAAAAATATTACATATGACAATTATCAGTTTTCAATTTTATATATAAAAAAATCAAAAATAAAGATTATTTATGGTATATCTTAACTAAAATTTTAATTTAACATATTAATAATATCTATTTTTACTCATTTGCTTTAAAAAAATTTAAAAAATTTCAATAATAACGATTATGATAATTGTCACTTTCCTGTAGTACATCTTCACTGAAATTTTAATTTAACATGTTAACAATATCTATTTTTACCCATTTGCTTTAAAAAAATTCAAAAAAGTTCAAAAATAACGATTATGACAATTGTCACTTTCCTGTAGTACATCTTCACTGAAATTTTAATTTAACATGTTAACAATATCTTCATTTACCCATTTGCTTTAAAAAAATTTAAAAAGGTTCAAAAATAACGATTATGACAATTGTCACTTTCCTGTAGTACATCTTCACTGAAATTTTAATTTAACATGTTAACAATATCTTCTTTTATCCATTTGCTTTAAAAAAATTCAAAAAAGTTCAAAAATAACGATTATGACAATTGTCACTTCCCTGTAGTATATCTTCACTGAAATTTTAATTTAACATGTTAACAATATCTATTTTTATCCAAATGCTTTAAAAAAATTCAAAAAAGTTCAAAAATAACGATTATGACAATTGTCACTTTCCTGTAGTACATCTTCACTGAAATTTTAATTTAACATGTTAACAATATCTATTTTTACCTATTTGCTTTAAAAAATTTCAAAAAAGTTCAAAAATAGCGATTATGACAATTGTCACTTTCCTGTAGTATATCTTCACTGAAATTTTAATTTAAAACATATTAACAATATCTATTTTTACCCATTTGCTTTAAAAAAATTTAAAAAAGTTCAATAATAACGATTATGATAATTGTCACTTTCCTGTGGTTCATCTTCACTGAAATTTTAATTTAACATGTTAACAATATCTATGCTATAAAAAAATTTTCAAAAATAACGATTATAACAATTGTCACTTTTCTATGGTACATCTTCATTGAAATTTTATTTTTACATCTTAATATTAATAATTATAACCTATTTAATTTAGGATATAATAAATCAAATAAGTTAAAAATAACGATTATTACAATTTCCACTTTTTAATACATTACATCTTCATTGAAATTATAATATAAATTTTTTTTTACCCATATATGTCGAAAAAAGTTAAAAAAATAACGATTATGAAAATTGTCGGTACATCTTTATTAAATTTTTATTTTAATTTAACATGCAGTTCAAAAAATAATATCAAAAAAATAAAACATTATAAAATATGAAGATCTTTGAAGATCGTTTGATCTAAAATATTTTTAAATAAAAGATCTTCAAAGATCTAGATCTTTGAAGATCGCTGCTCAAAAATTTTTTAAAATAAAAGATCTTCAAAAGATCTCGATCTTTGAAGATCGTTGCTCAAAATTTTTTAAAAGTAAAAGATCTTCAAATTTTACGATCTTCAAAGATCTTGCTCAAATTTTTGAGCGAGATCTCGCTCAAAAATCTTCAAAGAAGATCTTTTGGTACAACTCTGTTTTTAACTAAATTGACTAGTAAAAATATACTTAAAATAATAATCATTGCAAAAAATATAAATTTGATTAAGATTTGATAAGCATGATACTGAATATTTATAAATCTTAGATTACACCATGAAGTTTATACATACTATATAACTAGCAGATAGCTAGTTATAAGATGATAGGTATATCGGAAATTTCCCCTTTATTGATAAAATATGTTAGTGTAATGTATTACAAGACTTTCAATATTATTATGTGGAACTATATATCATATCACATACTTAAAAAAAATTCTTTTATTTAATATTTGTAATTATTATTCTACAAAACCTTCACCCTCTGTGTATTTTAGTAGTGATCTACATTGGGCATAATTTTTCACATCAGGCCCGAATTTTTTTAAAAATAATGTCTGGTTCCAAACGATTTCTTGCTCAAACTAGCCTAACCGAATATATTTTTTATTATCCCGAAAACCTGCACCCAGATTAATATAAAAAAAATTTAAAAATATAATCTTACATTTATTAACGCTAACATAAATTTTGATCATTCTACAAAATATAAATATTGGCACCTTGTTTCCTGTAAGAATTTTAAAATATCTATTTTATTTCAAAATTTAAGCTCCACTCAATAAAACCCAATATTTTTTAAAAAACCAATTTGAATTTTTTAAAAAATCCACCTGAAGCTTTCTAATTTAAAGAATCAATATGTCGCGTCCATAGGATGTAATGAAGATCAACAAATTAAAAGATACAGAACAAATTTATGATGAATTTCGATATAAAAATTATAAGAAGGTTTTGCCATGAGAAAAAAATGGATGGATCAAGCTCATAATTAGTTTTAGACCACTTTTCCAATAGTCATATCTACCCTAGGGATATTTGACAATAAAGCCCTAGGTAATAAATAACTAGGATAAAAATACATAGGCATGGGGGAAACACATCCATTGGGGAGTGCAATTGAAAAACAAATTTTCTATTCAGGTAAGTTCAAAATATCAAAGAATACAATTTACAAACTTAAAATTTTATAGAAAAAAAATATAAGCTAATTTTTAATATAAAAATAAAAACATATCAAAAATTTAATTCTAGAAAATTTCAAAAATTTATTTTATCAAAAAACAAGATAAAAATTGGGAAAATTGGATCCTTTTCTGTAAAATTTTACCAAACATTACATATTTAAATTGGTATAAAATTTTATTATATCAATTTTAATCATTGATTTGTTAAGACTTTGGGTTTTTATTTTAAATAGCCATTCGTTTTTGTCCATCAAATATTACTGTGGCAATAGATTGAATTGTTTTATACTATTTCCTCTGAATACAGGATTAAATTGGTATACAATTCTATTTGATATCAATTTTAAATATAGGCTTGTTAAACTTTGGGTTTTTATCATAAAGAGTCCATTCTTTATGGTCCATATCAAATATTCCTGTGGCTAATGTAATAGATTGACTTTGTTCTATACCACTTTCCCTGAATATAGGATAATTGTTATCACTTGTATCACCAAGAATTTCTAGCATATCTTGTATATTGTTAGCTTGCAATTTAGATCCGAATGTTTGAACAACTTTCTCACGGTGCTGTGAACTTATTAAAAATTCTGATATTTCTGGAACTTGTAATCTTTCATATTTGTTGAAATGGACATAATATTTTTTAATAATATCTATTTGTAAAACATTCAATTGTGACTTTCCAAATTTTGTAAGAGATGGTGCTACCTCTACATTAAAAAATTTATTTGGTGATGGATGGCATATATTGTTGTTTCCAGAAATACCTATATTAATACTGAATCCTACTGCTGTTCCCCTTCCAAAATCATATAATATACTTAATAAGCTCTTCATATCATAACATTTACCTATAACAGCTCTACATAGGATGCCTCTGGGAGTTGAATCTAATATTCCTACATGTTTAGCTGACAATCCATTCATAGTTATTATAAATGGATCAATGTTATTATTAAAACCCATACAATTACCTGGTAAATGGCCTGGATAGCAATAGGCTGTAAATTTTTCTTTTATTTTACAATTTGATTCATCAATAATTTCAACATCAACTACATATGCTTTATCCTTAATTGCTGCATGCATGTCCTCATTATGACCAAGAATGTTTACTTTGTCAACAAAAAATACATCAGTACAATCAAGTAAATCATGTAGATTCTCTTTAATTATTATTGTTATTTCAACCCTTAGTATGCATAAGAAAAAATAATGAAAGGGAATTTTAGATCCATCTGCATATCCTTGAATTTCCTGAATATACTCAGGATATATTTGTTTAGAAGTACTTAAATAATTGTCATATATTTGCTTACCAAATTTAGAATGATAGAATGGTATAAAAGTCTCATGTAACCAATTATATTGCTCAAAAAAATCAGATATGAGGTATTTAAAAGTTTGTCCAATTTCTAACCCTACATTATAATAACTACCTCTAAATTTACATATAGAAATTGACATTATAAAATAATTTTATACGACTAATATATTAACGACATTCTCTTGGTAAAATTCGAATTCGGTACGAAACAGCGAAAATCAGAATAGCGAAAAATAAAAAATGTTCCCATTATATATAACTCCACTAAAAAGTCATAAAATAATATTATATCTATTATTAATATATATAGTATATTATTAAATATGTTAATTTTTTCCAAATAAATTAAGTTATTATCATGGTATTTATATATTGTCCCTTTATAAATACTAATTTTTTGTATATGACATTAATAAAGTATGGCCATTATATGAACTCTATCTTCTTTAAATATTATCTATAAAATACTAATCTTTTGTTTATTTAGTGTATTTTTAATTAAATATAATATTTAATATTAATTTTATACGACATTAATAATGTATGGCCATTACATAAACTTTAAATATTATCAATAAAATTATATTTTGTATATTTATTGTATTTTTAATTAAATATAATGTTTAATTTTATTTATACAAAATAACTTATAGACCAATAAATATGTTATTAATTTTTTCACAATTGTTATTGCCTTGCCTAATATAAAATGAATAATTTTTAAATCCTAAATATGGTATTTATATTTTTTCAATTTATAAATACTGATTTTTTGTAATTTTAATTTAAAAGCATGGCAAACAAAATATCTTTCTTATAAAAATTTATTCATGTAAACAAAGGGTTTTTTTAAATTATTTATATTTTAAATAATAACTTTTACATTCAATTTTAAGTATACACTGCATAGACAGATTGATCATTTATATTTGCACTGAATAATATATAATATTATAATACACAATACAATATGCATTGATAAAATATTAACAGTATATCTATTGGAAAATGGCAATCATCTAAAATAGATTTATTGATTATGTTTATTTAAAGGGTTAAAAAAGGAATATTATATTCATATAATAATAATAATTTTCAATAGCTGCTTTCCCTGCTGATTTATTATCATTTGCAAGCTGAATTATTTGCCACTAAGAAATTTAAATAATATTAGTAAATAAAGGGTTTTTTTTTAATTATTTATATTTTAAATAATAACTTTTACATTCAATTTTAAGTGTACACTGCATAGACAGATTGATCATTTATATTTGCACTGAATAATATATAATATTATAATACACAATACAATATGCATTGATAGTGTATCTATTGGAAAATGACAATCATCTAAAATAGAATTATTAATTATGTTTATTTAAAGGGTTGAAAAAAAGGAATATTATATTCATATAATAATAATTTTCAATAGCTGCTTTATTATCATTTGCAAGCTGAATTGTTTGCCATTAAGAAATTTATTTAATATTAGTAAATAAAGGGTTTTTTTAATTATTTATATTTTAAATAATAACTTTTACATTTAATTTTAAGTGTACACTGCATAGACAGATTGATCATTTTTATTTGCACTGAATAATATATAATATTATAATAACACAATAATAATACAATTTGCATTGATAAAATATTAACAGTGTATCTATTGGAAAATGACAATCATCTAAAATAGAATTATTAATTATGTTTATTTAAAGGGTTGAAAAAAAGGAATATTATATCCATATAATAATAATTTTCAATAGCTGCTTTCCCTGCTGATTTATTATCATTTGCAAGCTGAATTATTTGCCACTAAGAAATTTAAATAATATTAGTAAATAAAGGGTTTTTTTTAATTATTTATATTTTAAATAATAACTTTTACATTCAATTTTAAGTGTACACTGCATAGACAGATTGATCATTTATATTTGCACTGAATAATATATAATATTATAATACACAATACAATATGCATTGATAAAATATTAACAGTGTATCTATTGGAAAATGACAATCATCTAAAATAGAATTATTAATTATGTTTATTTAAAGGGTTGAAAAAAAGGAATATTATATTCATATAATAATAATTTTCAAGAGCTGCTTTTATCATTTGCAAGCTGAATTGTTTGCTATTAAAAAATTTAATTTAATATTAGTAAATTAAGGGTTTTTTTAATTATTTATATTTTAAATAATAACTTTTACATTTAATTTTAAGTGTACACTGCATAGACAGATTGATCATTTTTATTTGCACTGAATAATATATAATATTATAATAACACAATAATAATACAATATGCATTGATAAAATATTGACAGTGTATCTATTGGAAAATGACAATCATCTAAAATATAATTATTAATTATGTTTATTTAAAGGGTTGAAAAAAAGGAATATTATATCCATATAATAATAATTTTCAATAGCTGCTTTATTATCATTTGCAAGCTGAATTGTTTGCTATTAAGAAATTTAATTTAATATTAGTAAATAAAGGGTTTTTTTAATTATTTATATTTTAAATAATAACTTTTACATTTAATTTTAAGTGTACACTGCATAGACAGATTGATCATTTTTATTTGCACTGAATAATATATAATATTATAATAACACAATAATAATACAATATGCATTGATAAAATATTAACAGTGTATCTATTGGAAAATGACAATCATCTAATATAGAATTATTAATTATGTTTATTTAAAGGGTTGAAAAAAAGGAATATTATATCCATATAATAATAATTTTCAATAGCTGCTTTCTCTGCTGATTTATTATCATTTGCAAGCTGAATTATTTGCCACTAAGAAATTTAAATAATATTAGTAAATAAAGGGTTTTTTTTAATTATTTATATTTTAAATAATAACTTTTACATTCAATTTTAAGTGTACACTGCATAGACAGATTGATCATTTATATTTGCACTGAATAATATATAATATTATAATACACAATACAATATGCATTGATAAAATATTAACAGTGTATCTATTGGAAAATGACAATCATCTAAAATAGAATTATTAATTATGTTTATTTAAAGGGTTGAAAAAAAGGAATATTATATTCATATAATAATAATCTTCAATAGCTGCTTTTCCTCCTGATTTATTATCATTTGCAAGCTGAATTATTTGCCACTAAGAAATTTAATTTAATATAATAAAATAAATAAATCTATACCTTCAGCAGAAGTAAGCATGACCTCTGTATCTTCTTTTTGTATTTTAGGTTGGCTGAATTAAATTTGGGCCTAAAATCATCTAAATTTCTAAAATCAATTGCTAAAAAATTTATACTTTCATGAGTATCTCTTATGTGAAAGTTGCTTGTAAACTGAATTTGTTCCTAAATTATTAAATTTATTTACTGTATCACATTAAATTATTAATATTTCATTAAACCTAATTATATACTTTTCTCATATCGAAAATGTTGGCCATCTTTTGGGAATGTTTTTGGGAATATTCCCTGATTTTCGCTATTTCGTGCCCAGGCCGTAAAATTCATTCATTACCACCGTGCAATTTCATCACCCACCAGGAGTTGAAGCGTGCATCATGTATTTTCACTAGTATATAGATCCCATACATGATGTCTACCCGTTTTATTATAGTGGACGGTACCACTATGTAGCCAGTTAGCAAAGTGAAGAAGGAAGAAGTACAATAATGGTGATGTATTAGTTCCGTTTCCGGTAGAATAGTGTTAAGGAAAAAAAAATAATGTCATATAAAAAATGTACCTGCATCCTTAAGTGGTATTTAGTGAGGCAACAAAAAATAATAACACTTATATCTTGGTAAGTATTGAGAATTTATGTTAAGTTTGCAGAAGAGTCTCTTCCTTGTTGTTCGGTGTGCCAAATATCATATGTCCTGTAGATCTTGTATGTGCTGTGCCAATGATATTTGGGTTCGTTCGAGTTATTGCGTTATTATTATAGCCAGTTTATCTTCTCATTGTCCATTATACAACTAATAGTTTCGTAATCGTTATCGTCGCCGATATCGTGTGCCCAGAAAAGAAGGTCGTGGGTTAATAAAAGGAAGTTATGTTGTTGTTCAGGTTATTATCATTATCAAATATACTTATTCCATTTATTGCAAGAACGTAAAGGAGAAGAACGGTTGCAATATTAATTTAGGCCATATTTTAACATGTATTGTAAATGTTCCTTTAGGTGTTTCTTGTTTTTGCTGAGCGCCATGAAATCTGCAAACGAGAGGTTAATCAGGTCCATATCTATCAAAAATTTCGCCAACCAATAGTATTTAGGAGTTTTCTTCCTACCGTCAGGGCACCATTTGGAGGACGAGAATATCATATTTTCCTGCGAGTGTCTTAAGCTATGGCCTAGTAATTCTAGTCTCCTAAAGGGTATGAGACGATTGATTGGTAGGATGTCGCATCTATTCCAGAGCATTGTATTTGATGTGTTGTATGGGGTAATACGTTTTGGTGATTCTTCTAAGGCATTTGTTTATAAAAGTCTGAATTGTGTTGATGTTACTTTTTGAGTCTTGCCAAGTCGCCAGGCCGTAGGTAAAAATGGGTACAATTAGGGACTTGTAGAGTCTTATTTTTAAATTAGTTGATATTTGGTTGGATGACCATAATTTCGACAGTTGATGATAGCGGAGTCTAGCATTATTCGTTCTCGATTTCGTATCTAAAAAAGAGAGGCCTAATGACGTTATCCGGGTTCCTAGGTATTTAAAATCTGACACTAATTCTATCGTATTACCCTCAAAGTTAAAGGGGTTTAAGTGACTCGCATCGGTATTCGAGGTGATCAGTTTGGTTTTTGTGTAGTTAACTCTTAAACCATATCCATCACAGTTGTTGACAAATAATGATAAAATATTTCTTAATTTGTATTCTGAGTTGGCAAGAATACATACGTCGTCAGCATAACATAGAAAGTTTAAAAAGTTGTGCATATCATTGAGGTGTTGTTGATCACTGTAATATGTGTTGAGTGCATATTCATGTTTAAAGGGTTTATTTAGGATATCATTCATAATTACATTAAAAATAATCGGTGAAAGGATGCATCCTTGTTTGAGGCCCCTATTTGCTTTAAAAAGTTGCGACTTCATATTTAGATGCTGAGGAACTACGTTATGATTGTCGTAAATTATCTTAATTAGCGCTATCAGATTCTTATCTATTCCAATGTTTTCCAGCAAGGGCCATATCTTATTCTGAATTATGGAGTCAAAGGCTTGACTTAAATCAATCATTAGGGCAAAGATGGGGGATTTATGCATTCTGGCCTTTTCCAGAATGACCTTAAGTGCCATAGTCAACTCCGTAGTATTTCTGCCCTTCCTGTATGATGTGATAGGATTAGAAAGTAACCTGTTAATGATTGGTTTAATCCTGACTGATATGATGTATGTGAACATTTTTAGTGTGACTGGAATCAGTGCACTGTAATCTTTAAGGCAGTTTGGGGACTTATTTTTAGGGAAGTTTAGTATAATTGATGTCATCCATTCGTCGGGAAACTTGCCCGTATTCCAAATCTCCCTAAAGAGGGGAAGTAGTAAGCTGGCCCTTAGGTCTACCTCTATCTTCCAGAGTTCTGCAAAAATTCCATCAGCTCCAGCAGCTTTATGCATTTTTAGACGTTTGATGGCACCGACTATATCGGACTTGTTCAGATTCTGACTGGGTGATTGGAAGGGGTAGTCACATCTAGGTCTAGGCCATCTCGTTTGCAGAGGTTCATGTAGTGGTCTATCCATAAGTCTAATTGTTCCTTAGGGTCAGTTATAATCTTGTTGTTATTTAATTGTAGTCTTGATAAAGGATTGGTTTTAAAGGTGGTGAGTAGTTTTAGAGATTGGAAGGCCTTATAAATATTATTATTATCAAAATTGAATTGGATAGAATTCGATAAGTTAGCAATAAACAGTCTTTTGTCAGCCCTTATGCGGTGAGTAATGTACCTCCTATGATGTCTTGCAAATTGATGGTGGGATATATTTGTTGTAAGATTCTTAATTATTTGTATTGTTGAAGGGGTGAGCCACTCTCTGCGCTTGGTCGTGGTCTTAAGCATGATGTTATACTACCTAATAAATTCAGCTTAATGTCCTTCCAGGTCAGATTTGGGTTTATCATGCCATTTACTGTGTTTCTCCATGATGTTAATTTAGAGACGAACTCTTCTTTCACCTCTAAGTCATTTAGTTGTGCCAAGTCTTTTCTAGCTATGTATTTTACAGTGGTGAGACTGTTCTGTCTAGTGTGGTTTGGGAAGATACTGTTGTTAATTTTGAGTTCACAACCCAGTGGATAATGATCCGTAAAAAGTGCAAGGTTTAGTTTACTGATTACCCTGATGTCTCTCACCCACTTGAAAATCTTAGTGGAAATTACAAAAAAATCTATCTGTGAGGTAATGCCAAAGGAAGGACTCTTGTAAGTCATAATGTGATGAGTTGGATGATTGAAGAAAGTATTTCCAATGAAAAGCTCGCAGATTTCTATTAACCTTTTACCGTTAGGTTTCGTGCTTTGTATTAATTGTGTTCCTATCGTAACCGCTTGACTATTTTTTTATGCTATGATTGGTGTATACTAAGTTCCCTACTTGCTAAACAACGACCAAGATGTATTAATAAGTAATATATGTTTTGCGCCTAGTCCTATATGTTGTATTCTACCACAAATCAACTGAAGATTCATCCCTAATCTCTTCGATTTTTTTAAAATTTTCATGATAGTAAAAATATAAAATTTTAATTAACAACTCAGAGTACTTCCTGAGAAAGTGGCGTTACTAGGGGAGGGAGAGCAGGCGCCCGAGCCGCGTGAAAAATTTGAATAGCCCCCTTCAAAAAATTTATTTAAATGGAATCTTAACCTCTTGAACTGAAAATAAATTTTTTTGATTTACCCCTGATCGTCTTTTATAATTCTATTAAGTAATGAATAGATTTAATTTTATTATTTTAAAATTATTAAGACTGTCTAAATTTTTGTTAAATGAATATTATTTTAAAGATTAGATTAATACACATATATTATATTTTCACTATATCTTGAAAACTAACAAATTTAATATTGTAATTAGCAGAGTTTAAAGAGATTAATCAACTGTATATTTATTTTTAATTGAAATTTTCATCCTATTCCTAAAAATATTTTCAAGGTCTAATCCTAATGTATAAGAGATTTCTTTATAAAAAGAAAGTAAGTAAATAGACATCAGGGGCGTCGCTAGCCTTTACAATCTCAGGTGGCTCAACTAAAAAAAATTCTGGGGGGCTTCGCTTTCCATATCCCCATTTGCGGGCCTTTGGCCGGGTTTCATATTATTATATAATAGAATAATAATTTTGAATTTCATATTTTGTCTTTATTATATTATGCCTACAACATAAACTAGCATTAAATAATTAAAACAATATAAGACATTTCTAAAAATATTATTTTTTCAATAAAAAATCTATTTATTACAGTATAAAATATTTTCGATTGTTGATATAAATTTTGCATCTAAAGAATTACAAGTGATAAAAAGGTTAATTAATTCATGCATATGCCTCAATTGATAATGGTTTTTAAAAAATACATATTATAAAATTAGCAACTTACATTGACGAAAAGTGAAGAAACTAATATAACACTTTTACCATTTTTAAACAATGTTTTATAGAATGGACTAATAAGGAAAAATTTAGAGGCCCAACCAAATCAACAATTCTTGGAGAAGAGAATATAAACGACCAATCCAAATCATAAAACTATATGGTGGTTAGAGCTTCCTCTTAAATGACATGATGGAAGCTAGATATGTAATTGAGAAAAAAATTGTAAGGTATTAAATTTCTAATAGATATTCTTAATGATATATAAATAACTACACAGTTGACCATTATTGCTTATAAAATATGCATATGTTCTCAGCAGCAGGGGCGTCGCTAGCCGTAACAATCTCAGAGGGCTCAACTAAAAAAAAATTGGAGGGCTTCGCCCTGGGTTTTATATTAATATATTATATTTTTAAAATTAACTAACTCTAAATAATTATTCTGAATGTCATTTATTATATTTTGCATCAAAATAAACTAGCATATAAATCATTAAAATAATACAAGACATTTCTAAAAATAATAATATTTAATACAAAATCTATTTATTACAATATAAAATATTTCCGATTGTTGATATAAAAAAATTTTGCGCCTAAAGAATTATAAATGATAAAAAAGGTTAAAATTCATATATATATGCCTAAAGAATTATAAATGATAAAAAAGGTTAAAATTCATATATATATGCCTCAATTGATAATGGTTTTTGAAAACTACATAATGTAATATTAGCAACTTATATTGACAAAAGGTCATGAAACTAACATAACTCTCTACTACCATTTTAGACAATGTTTTATAGAATAGACTAATAAGAAAAAATTTATAAACCTTACCAAATCAACAATTCTTGAAGAAGAGAATATAGACGACCAATCCAAATCATAAAACTATATGGTGGTTAGAACTTTCTATTAGATGACATGATGGACGCTAGATAAGTAATCGAGAAAATTGTTGTATGATATTAAATTTCTATAAGATTATCTTCCATTTTAATGATATATAAACGACTACACAGTTGACCATTATTGCTTATCTAAAATATGCGATCATATGCTCTCAGCGTAGTAAT